ACACAATCCAGCCGAAGCTGTTTTCCGCGGCCGTACAGTGGGAAGTCACTGGACTAGCACGAGAGGGCTCAGGAGTTTGAGTGATTTCTTTAGAACCTTAATATTGCGGACAACATCGTTCACGTTTCGAGCACATCAACGTTGAGACGATGCTAAAGGAACTTAACGAAATGAAGAAGAAGGTGAGATCGCGTATAAATCGTAGCAAATTTTAAGTTCATGAGGAACACCCTTTGCGAAGATGCGAAAATGGAAATGGAATGCACCTCCACAAGGAAGACGTCTTCTTACATGTTTTGGATGTTTTGATGAACAAGACGATCAGGGGGAACTAAACAGGAGAAGAAAAGCAGCTTGATTCGCCTTTGGGCGTTTGAAGGAGCCATTGACCAACAGACAAACCTACAACTTCGCACGCAGCCTTCCCAAAATTAGTCGGGACAAGCAACATCTTGCTGAACTTGCAGTGCGGATATACGAAGAACACTCCGTCTTAGTGATCCAGCGAAATCAGGGCTCAGCCAAGGTGATGCTTTCATATGCTGGATGCCGTTTTTGAGGGGAAAGCAAAGGAGACCCCGTAAAGATTCCAACCGGAAACCTGAGGAAATATCAGAAAGCACAACTTCAACTCTTAGCAAGCCCGAATTTGAGAATCTAAAGTGATTTTGCCAGCTACAAGTAGATTAACTAGTTACAAACACGACTAGTCCATAAACCTGTGTGCACGCAATTCAACGTGGCAGAAGACAATTTTCAATGTTGACAAAAGGTTTGTTTACAACGAGTAAGCAATATCGAGAAAAAAATTATGTGAACGAGAGGAGTTGTGTCGTCCCTTCCACAGTTGCTGCTATCCGGTTTGCATCTCTGACCAGCGGCACACGTGGCCAATATGTTGGCAACATGCAGCAACATGTTGGCGCTGATGTAGCCAAAATGTCCTGCCAACATGTTGTTGCATGTTGCAAACATGTTTTCCCACGTTGACAACCTGTAAGCCATACGTGTCGCATGTCGGCGTGGCAGTCCATGAGTGGCAGCAGTTGTGGAAGGGGCAAAGAGTGTTTTTTGATTTCAGGTTGCTCTCGATCAACCAGGGAGCACCCTGAGGTTGCGTGGGAGGGCTAGACAATGTCATGAATGTCCACATTTCTCCCCTTTTTTCGCATGAATTTCCAAATTTTTTTTACATAAATATCTTCTTTAGATCAAACTATAGATATGAATACTGACCATAACCAAAGCTTTGCTTACTATGCTTTGTTGCAGCTCCTCGTGATATAAAAACGTTCTTCTTTTCGCATTCCGCTTTTGCTCTTTTGCTCTCATTTCGCTGTTTTATTCTTGTCTTTTTCACTACAATCTTTTTTTTGTTGCAGATTCTTGGAAGAGCTTCTACAACACCACAAAAGGTACCTCGTTATTTTCTGCAATGGCAAACGGGACTTCGTTTTTGAATTTCTCATAGGTGCTGCTCTGAGTGGAATATGTTGCGAAAGCGAAAGATTTAGCAGAGCCTATCATCTCTTAAGCAGGACACACGACTCCTTGCGAAGCAAATAAGAAGACCGCCTAGATGAGCAGACCTGCTCGTGGAGCGAGTGGAAAGCTGAAACTCAGCTGGATACGAATTCCGAACGATTCCCATTGTTTCTCGCTCATTTTCGCACGGACTAGAGGTGGAGGAAGATGCTTGATTTACCAAAAGTAATGTTGAGCCAAAAAGTACTGTCTTTTGCACCTCCTGGTTTTTTGCGACAAGGAACACGGCCGTCATAAAAATTCTGTTAATCGTACTCTTGGTCTTTCGCGTCTGCTGAAAGGTCTATTGACACTCAGTTAGTACTTCACGTAACGCTTCTCACCTTTATTCGCTTCCGCCTTTGAAGGATGATTGCCGCAGTGTTGGCTGCCGACACTGCGGCAGTCATAGGATTGACATTGTTAAAGGAAGGAATAACAAGAAAAAGATCAAGAAGGTTTACCACTACGCAAGGTAGGTTGGTTATAATTATTAATGCCGCAGTGTTGGCTGCCGATACTGCGGCAGTCGTAGGAAGATCGACATATCAAAGGAAGAAAGAACAAGAAAAAGATCAAGAAGATTTACCACTACGCAAGGTAGGTTGGCTGTAATTATTAATGCCGCAGTGTTGGCTGCCGACACTGCGGCAGTCGTAGGAAGATCGACATATCAAAGGAAGAAAGAACAAGAAAAAGATCAAGAAGATTTACCACTACGCAAGGTAGGTTGGTTGTAATTATTAATGCCGCAGTGTTGGCTGCCGACACTGCGGCAGTCGTAGGAAGATCGACATATCAAAGGAAGGAATAACAAGAAAAAGATCAAGAAGGTTTACCACTACGCAAGGTAGGTTGGTTATAATTATTAATGCCGCAGTGTTGGCTGCCGATACTGCGGCAGTCGTAGGAAGATCGACATATCAAAGGAAGAAAGAACAAGAAAAAGATCAAGAAGATTTACCACTACGCAAGGTAGGTTGGCTGTAATTATTAATGCCGCAGTGTTGGCTGCCAACACTGCGGCAGTCGTAGGAAGATCGACATATCAAAGGAAGGAATAACAAGAAAAAGATCAAGAAGGTTTACCACTACGCAAGGTAGGTTGGCTGTAATTATTAATGCCGCAGTGTTGGCTGCCGACACTGCGGCAGTCGTAGGAAGATCGACATATCAAAGGAAGGAATAACAAGAAAAAGATCAAGAAGGTTTACCACTACGCAAGGTAGGTTGGTTATAATTATTAATGCCGCAGTGTTGGCTGCCGATACTGCGGCAGTCGTAGGAAGATCGACATATCAAAGGAAGAAAGAACAAGAAAAAGATCAAGAAGATTTACCACTACGCAAGGTAGGTTGGCTGTAATTATTAATGCCGCAGTGTTGGCTGCCTACACTGCGGCAATCGTAGGAAGATTGACATACATCGTTAAAGAAAGGAAGAACAAGAAAAAGATCAAGAAGGTTTACCACTACGCAAGGTATGTTGGTTATAATTATTAATGCCGCAGTGTTGGCTGCCGACACTGCGGCAGTCGTAGGAAGATTGACATCGTTAAAGGAAGGAAGAACAAGAGGAAGGGAATAAAGAAGACTTACCATTATAAAGTAGTTATCGTCATCTTTTACATCGCATGAGTTGTCACAGAAATTTCGCTTTTTGCGGAAATGAGCAAAACTATGTAGAACAAGTATGGAGAGGATTAAGAAGATCGACAATGTTGAAGGAAGGAAAAATAAAAAGGGAAAAAAGAAGATTTACCATCATAAGTAATTATTATCATCATCGGTCACGTCACATGAGCCGTCACCAAAAATTACGCTCTTTGCGGAGGTGGAGAAACCTATGTAGAAAAAGTATGGAGAGGATTATAAAGATCGATAACGTTGGAGGAAGGAAAAATAAAAAGGAAATAAAGAAGACTTACCATTATAAAGTAGTTATCATCATCTTTTACATCGCATGAGTTGTCACAGAAATTTCGCTTTTTGCGGAAATGAGCAAAACTATGTAGAACAAGTGTGGACTGGGTTAAGAAGATCGACAACGTTGAAAGAAGAGAAAATAAAAAGGGAAAAAAGAAGATTTACCATCATAAGTAGTTATTATCATCATCGGTCACGTCACATGAGTCATCACCAAAAATTTCGTTTACGAAGGTGAAGAAACCTATGTAGAAAAAGTATGGGGAGGATTAATAGATCGATAACGTTAAGGGAAGGAAAAATAAAGAGGGAATAAAGAAAATCTACCATTACTTAAAATAGTTTGGTTATTATTATCGGTTACATCGCATGAGTCGTCATCAAAAATTTGCTCTTTACGGAGGTGAAGAGAACTATGTAGAAAAAGTATGGAGAGGACTAAAAAGATCGATAACGTTAAAGAAGGAAAAATAAAAAGGGAATAAAGAAAATTTACCATTACTTGGAATAGTTTGGTTATTATTATCGGTTACATCGCATGAGTCGTCATTAAAAAATTCGCTCTTTACGGAGGCGAAGAGAACTATGTAGAAAAAGTATGGAGGCTGAGCTTAATTTTTTGTTTTTTCGTCTTTCATAGTTTTTGGGCCCCATAAGATGCCACAAGGTGCCAAAGTAATTAAATGCTGTCAATGTAGCACGGCTCAACCTCTCTTTTCGCAAAAAAATTCTTTCCTCAAAAACTTGATAGCTTCTTTACTAGCTAATAAAAAGAAAAATAAGACAAGTGAAAAAAGCTCTTTTCCCACTCAGTTTACTTTTAGATACTCGTGTCGCCTACCGCGAGCACACGAAGGCCTTCATCCGCATCCACGCCCCAGCACTCCCCAAAAATTCGGAGAACAAATTTACTGATGATTTCCGATAATTTCAAGAGATCTCACTCTATGGCCCCCTTTGGGCTCGAATGTGATGAATGTGTCTTGAATGAGTTTCTCGAATTAGTTTACTGATGATTTCCGATAATTTCAAGAGATCTCACTCTATGGCCCCCTTTGGGCTCGAATGTGATGAATGTGTCTTGAATGAGTTTCTCGAATTAGTACCTTGTAAAGTTCACGCTGCAAAATTTTCTTTCAAAATTCACATGTAAAAGATCAAAAGCGAAAAGCCCACATATTTATCTCACTGTTTTTCAGGAATGAGCTGGAGAGCGCAAAACGCATAGAGGTATTTCTCAAGATTGTCGGATTCGAACGAGGACGTGTCAATTGGGCCGACAAAAAAGACGCGTAATCATTGTGAGGCTCTACGGTCATGTGCAAACGATATGCATATACCATAATTGAAAGAAGTGGAGTAGTGCGTGGGTAAAGCGAGGGATCCAGAATGCTTCCTAGCTATCTTTCGGCTTTGGTCTTACGCTTTTTCGTTGCGAGTCTCACTGACTCCTTAGTTGGGAGTTTGCTAATGCAAAGCTAAAAAAGTCCTAATGCCAAAATTCGTTCTATCTCAACCCGCCAATGCGAAAAAAATTGCTTAAGGGCTTATATGCATGGAAGTCCCTGTGGCAAGGAAAGCGACGAAACTAGTTGTGAAAAACCGCGACGGTCTTCGTTCGGACAGGATTTTCAAGAAGTAGAAGAGACCGGTGCCGTATTTTCATCAACGAACCCAGTGGCTTCCGGAACCCATGAGGTACGCTTGACCCAAGATTGGTATTCAAGAAACTAATAGGATAAGCTTACCCAGTGGGTTCAGGAACCACAAAAGCCGTACGACCGGTATTCAAAACAAGCCAAAAGTTGAGAATACCAGTATCACGAAGTTATACCCAGTCCCTGTGGGTTTGAGCACTGGGTTCGCGTACACAACGATGCAAATTTCGTGATCGCTTACATGCGAACCTAGTTCCTTTGCTAAATGAGCACTCTTGTGAGCATTGATGGTAACACTATGCACTAAAGATACTTTTTATACCTTTTAAAACCTTTAGTACCTATTAGCTGTCAGTGTTGGCATATGTCAACAGTGCGGCAGCCTTAGGAAAATCGAAAAAGCTGACGCAAGAAAAAATAAAAGTAGAAAAGTCAAGAAGTTTTACATTTACCAAAGATGGTCCGGTTATCATTATCGTTTACAGCGCATATGTCTTCGATTCTCAGATGTGTTAATCCATCGTGTAGGCGCCGCTCATCGTTGGCGTTACTAATACGAATGTAGAGAATCTATACTCCCTGGAGCTTTTTTACGTATCAACATGCTCATATTTGACAGCGACATCATCAGCTAACATGCAGGAATAGCAATCAACTCTTCAAATCAAAATAGAAAAAAGACACTCAAGAACTTCTAGAAGCTATGGAACTCTGTACCACTCCTTCAGCATTATAACTTATAGAATTTTTTATAAGGAAACTCTGATAGTGAATGTACTTATTATTAATAGTGCTGTATAAGCAACTGTGTGAAGTGTGGCAATATCAAGTCATGTTATTGTTGTTACTATTGTTTCATGTTGATTAATAACATCGCGATATTGATTGTGACATAACTCTTTTCATTAAGGGAGTCGAAGCTCAAATATTTTTGGGTTTACAAAAATACTCTAGCAACTGGGCAGTGGGCGGACGGGGTTGGTCAAACTAATTTAATAAAATTTCACTCCCTTTGCAGAATTCCTTCTCTCTCGATGTAATTTCTATCGCTTCTAACTTGTTTTTTGTAAATTAGATTTTCTATAGTTGTATTGTAGCTTGTAACAATCTCTCTATGTCTAATAAATCTTTAGTATAAACTTTAGTAACTAGTGCTCAAACCGCATAGCTAGACCCAGGCCTATCCCATCCCTGAATGTGGTCCCAGAGCTACAAAAGTACTTCAGCATTCCCTCGTCTTCTCGTCTGTATTTTTTTCTTCCTTTCAAATGTAGCATCCTTGTTTGTTACTCATTATACTTAGATAATCGTTATATTCTTTTCTTTTGCGTTAAAAACTTATAATCCTTAGGAGTTGCCCTTGACGTACTTCATGGGTCCTTACGGTTTATGTTTGCGGCTGGCCGACGGACTGGGACCTCGCACCAATTGTAATTCGTACTAGCGAAAAGTTTGGATGATCTAAATTATCAGCAAGATTTAGATTCCACATGAAGTTATCGTATTCAAATACAGGTAGTACATAAGCTTTGCAGAGTGGATAAATTATTTATCTGCATATTTCTAATCAAAGAGTACATTATGCGTGATCTTCAGAGACAAATCGATGCGAGACGAAACTTGATGGAAGGATCAACGCCTACACCAGGGTCACATACATTACTTTTAACGTCCAAGAAAATTCTATAATCGAAATCAGTTAAATCGTTTCCAAATCTCAACAATTGACTTTTAGAAGGGTTATGTTGATTCCCTAGTCATTGAACCACTATAGCATTTGACGTACTGATCGTCTCAGTTTTTCGTGAATATGCGCATTGCTATTGGCGTCATAATTAGCGTATATCTTGATATCATCAGCGTATACACTTGCGGCATTCCGGCTGGGCCTACATTTCTGACCAGCCTTAGCATTTGTAAAAAATACTCCGTCTTCTTGTGGGTGGTACGTCAAGATGCCAGATTTGTCAAAGACGTGGGTCTTCATTTCACATTCCATTGAATATCTGTCGATATATCTAGCTATGTGTAAGAGGGAACGATATCCCACTGTGGTATATGCAGATGTTGACATATTTCTACAATCAGCATAGCTGAGAACGATCTGATAACGGTTACCAACCGATATAAAACAGATACATAAAACTGTAAGGAGGGGGACCCCGAGATACGCTGCGGAGCGGTACGCTCATCTCCACTCAGACAATCGCCGGGGGCAGGCGGGCGCCGGAGAATACTTTGCTGAAATTTCGCATTCCGCTCGCAAATTCAGGAGAAAATGGTCAGCGAGTTTTTGAGAGACCGCCTGTTGAATCTTTTTTCGCTCTAATCTTTTGCACATATATTGCTGAATCTTTGGGGAATCGAGAACTCAGCAAGCGGCGTCCCGAAAAGTCCTGATTGCTTTTCAAAAGTCCGCGAGCGGGGTGCGAGAAATCAGCCATCTATTTTTCTGGTGCCCGCCTGCCCCCGGCGATTGTCTGAGCAGAACCCCCTTCATCAACCGCTGCTGTTTACCAATGCTAACAACTGTTACATACAATGGGTCGAGCTCTTACTTATGGTCGCTTGAAGTATAGTAAGTGTTCGCACTGTTTTTTCATTGGAGAAGCTTCGTAAGTTCTGCGTGCACACAATCTCCACCGTTGCTGCTGCGTGAATGGCAAAAGGTGAGTCTTGCACCGATTAAGCAGTTGTAGCATCTTTTTGAATAGGTGAAGCAGTGATCTTGCAGTCTACGTTGTTACGACACTCCGTGGATTCCACGCTGCAGTCGTGCTGATAGTACGTCGAGTGAATTTGTGGCTGACTCCAAGTACACTTTCATGACCTTTTCGTAGGTTGGAAATGAGAAAGGGAAGGGCAATGAGCTACCATCGATGTGGTCAGTTCCGACATCTTCGAGTTCTTGCAGTTGGCCGCCTTGTCATCCTTCGGGTAACACTTGCAGGTGTCTTCTATTAGGTTTTGTAACAAGTTCTGTCTCATTTTTTCTTACAATTAATTTTTAATCTGAAGGGTGTTTTGCAAAATGTATATGTGCATTCGAAAGCTCCAAGTGCTCAGCAGATTCACTTGCGTCATCTCCCAACATGGTAAGAAACTGAAATACTTTTTGGCATCAAAAGAGGAGGCAAAAAATCCATTTCAACCTCTTTTTTCTCTCAAACTTTCCTATTTTCTATGAGTAAAATTCACTCAACAGCTTGACAACAAACAATGCAACCTCAGACCACCCATTCTTTTTTTCTGGATTATCCGTCTGTCATAACTAAGGAGCCTTCATATGCTCAAAGTCAATGTTGATGAGACTTTGAAAAAAAAGGATTTACTAAGGTCTACAGAAGCAGTTTTCGGAACTTTTGAGCACTTCTAAAGCGCTGCATAAACTGCACTATTCTTTCCTTACGCGCAGCAGATTTTTTGAGCTGTTTCGTACGCATTCTGACTTATTTGCAGGGCGATGTGATTTAGTCGAAAACGGATTTATTGCTCTTTCAAATTTTCTAATTTAGAAGACTCGAGCAAAAATTTTGGTAGAGCAGGCTTGGAGCTTTCAAATGAATATAGGCATTTTGCAGAACACCGTTCAAATTACTGAGAAAGACATAAAAAGAAAAAATGGGACAGAACTTATTACACAAACTAATACATGGCAAAGCGAAAGTTTCAAAAGCTTTTCATCGTTGGACATCTGAGCGCAAATACATGGTCGTGTCGTTCTCACCAAAGCAGTTTCCGCTTGTGGTGTTGACGTCTTGCAAAAATACGAAGCTCAACACTGGAATCATTGGCGTTTACAAATTCCAATATTAGGTTAGCGTCCTTAGACTGTGAGCGGTCTGAGCAGCAAACATTGCAGTGCTCGTTTTTATTAGTCTAATTAACGCTTAATGTATTCAAATTCGGTACAGAAGATTGTTCAAAAGCTCTGCCAATAAAGGTTAAGGCGTTTTGCTTTATCGATGGCTCATCGGTAGAAAGTATTAGTTTAATATTTTGGTCACGTTTACTGATAAACTGATAAATCTACCGATTGGATGTATTAGGGTGCTGTTCTCTGAGAAAAGCGTTGGATGCGTCACAACACAGGTAGAGAATCTCAAGCTGAGATTAAATGTATTTTTATCTTGAAAGGTGTCCTGGCCCAAAAGTGGCCAGATGTTGTAAGGTCTGATGAAAGGTATAGAACAGATTCTCAATCAAGCTCCCCAATTTTTCGCGTCTACCATTTAGAAAAATGTGCCCTTTTGCAGCTCTCGGAACAACGAATTATTCTCTTCTATGGAAAATTACTGGATTATAATGATGACTCTTTGAGCTGACGCAATTGATAGAAGGACACCATCAACATTTGTTGCATTCGTAAAAGTACAATGGCTAGGAAAAACAGAATATGAATTATTATCAAAAAATTACGTGACCGAAAGACATGGCAAGCTTTTCTCTGGAATTTTGTACTTGTAATTTTTTTCCTTAAAGTTTTATCTTTCGCTATGATGCTTCTCTCCTTTGGTGCCCCACGCAAGCCTCGTGTGTTTGAGGATGAAGGTCGTATGAGATTCGTGAACAGCAGCCGATGCTGCCTTACTCAGTTTGCCTCGATGGAAAAACAGAGAATGACAGCAGTATCGTCTCTGGAAGGATGAACTAGCACAATGAGTACGGCAGAAATGTGCTGCAGTAAAAAAAGTTCTTATGTAGTGAGGAGTGGAAATTCAAGAGTTCAACAGCACGATATAAGTGATTCCATAAGCTGCATCACAGCATTACAATTTTTAATTTAGTGGGTTGGACAACATTTTGTACATTGGTGTTTTGATTTAGAGTGTTAATTTATGTACCGCACTTCTATCAATTCATGGCACATGAGCAGTCGAATCGAAGAAGATGGCAAAACGGATGATGAAATCAGACTAACTTCATTCTCCATGTAAATTCGCTCACATAGAATGGCACGACAGGAGAAAAATACTACCTTGATTATTCAAAAACTCTCCGAGTTGCAAATTCCTGGAGACTCCAGGAATGTCACTCAAAGCGTGCACAGACAAAATCTCAACGAGTTTACTCTAAAATTGCTTCTAACTGCAACTTGACTCGCGCATAACAAAAAAAGGAAAGCCTTTTGGAATTTTGAGGAGAAAACAACGAAAACATATCGCATACTGGCAAGCTAGCTTGAACATAACACTATCGGCAGTACTTTATAAATGATTTGTTCTTCACAACAAAACGAGTACGTAAAGCAATACTAAAATACACAACAACAGTAGGTGTCGGGAGCGATTAGATATATGTACAACGATATCTATGTAGCTGGTACGAGCCTCTGCTGAGAAAGATATAGCGATTAGCGGTATTACGAAATGAGAGGATTGAGGTGAAAATAGCTGGGATAATCAGCCATGAATGAAGCCGTCATGGCGGCAACGTTAGCGGATGAGATGAGATGAGAGCTGGGAGAAGAGTGTAGCCTATCTGCTCTAGGAATGATGTCCTTGAACTGGAGAGGATCACTGTCAAAGGACAGCAGCTGCGATGCTGATGACCACCGTCATAGTGGCCATGACGCTGCACGCCGGACATCTGCATATCCTTACTGAGGCCCATGTGCACGTACATCCCCGTTGAGGAGGGGAGGGAATCTGAGAGAAGCGCCATATCTCGCTACTTTACGTATCTTTCTTCTTCCTTTTCTATCATGCTTTTGAAAGTTCTCATATTCTAATACCTGCGCATAATTGGTGCCAGGTTACTGGCATAATTATTGGATTTTCACTATTTTGTGCAATTTTACAGCTTTTTCATTGAGAATTCAGAAAGGTAAATGGCATTGAAATTGAGAGGTGATCCCTTCGGGATTCTCTGGGGATCTCCAGGGATCACACAAAATAGTGGAAATCCAATCAATTATGCCAGTAACTTGAGAACCTTCTTAAAGGCAGTGGATCGGCAAAACCCAACAACTCAGGATTTTAACGCCGTTGGTTTCTTATCGCCCAAGTAAGAAAACGGTGCAATCCCGGTTGCACAGCATGCTTTCCCTGCCGAGAGAATCGCTCTCAAACTTACACGCGCAGACCAATCTTACGCGCATCTGGACGAGTTGCCAATTTCCTTCTCACCATTGAAGGCTGCCCGCCGCAACGCTGTAACTATTGGGTCCTGCAACGATTTAGCGCCACCGGGCTTGCTCCACTCGTCCAATTCCAAAGGGAATTTAGGCCGTTTTCGAGCTTTCAAAAGTGGATTTTCGGGACGGCGTATTGGATAATTCCAGGTAAGCGCAAATTTGACTAGGTTGAGATTTGCCGAGCCACTGCCTTCAAGCATGATAAAGAAGGAAGAAGAAAGATATCTAAAGTAGCGAGGTATGACGCATCCCCTCTCAGATCCCCACCCCTTCCCAGCGGTGTACGTGCATAGGGCCTTAATGTCTTG